ATATAGAGATACTGGTGTTCTCAATAAAGAACGTCCCTATAATGGGATACTATAGTAAAATTTTTAGCAATAATCATTATTTGCAATCTCTTATAAAACCTGTTAGAAAAAACTCCCATGATTGTCTTGTTCAATTTTGTTCTGGGAATTTTTAGTTTAAAGTTTTTTTCGATTTTATTTTAATTTTACTAGGATCGTTTTTAAGAATATTCACCCTGCAGGAAGCGATAATTGTCTTAATGCCACTAGTAATATTACTAGAACAACAGACACTAGTACAAATTGGGTTAGAGTTTATATGGAAAAATACTAGGAGTAGTTGAATGGCGCCACTTGTATTGTATTGTATTGGAAAACATGATTTTTTTAAACTATTAACCCATTTACGGTCGCTGTGCCAATTTGGGAACACTTAATTTTTAAGGCTGTATTAAAAAACGGTTAACTCTGGTTTATTTATTTTTTCAGTATTGAGTAGAGGAAAGTGCTCAGAATAAATATTAAATCAAACAATTTAACTAAATTCATTGTTATTGTTGTAATAATCTATTAAACTTCAGTGGCCAAAAATATACTAAAAACATGTTATAAAATAAATTTGTTATAATTTTTTAAACAAAGTATGACAGTTATTAATTTGAAATAAACGGTATAAAAATAATCTGATAACATAGTAATGCCCGTGTCTGCCATTTCACTCTGTTTCTAGTTTCTGGGACGTCTCTAAACCGTTAAAAAACGCGAGCTACATAAAAACGGAAATCCTCTCTAATGTCCTAATTATTAATATTTTTTAATATTTTTTTTTTTCGTTTCTGCTTTTTTGCATTGTTGAAAATAAATATACCGTGAAGTTTCAAAAATTTAACTTGTACTTTTTGATTGGCTGTAAATGGGTTAAAATATAATTTTGAAATATTTCGCATAAAAACTATATTTTCAAACATATCCCTTCAAATGAGAGAATAAATAGTGCATGCAAATTTATGTCCGGTTGCAAGCAAATCTATCTAATCTGTTAAATTTAAAAACTGCAATAAGTTTAATATTTGTTTTATCGTACGGCAAATGTTTTTATAACGAAATGGAGATATGTACCTGAATAGAATTTTTGTACACAATAAAATCAATGATATCAACGTGGTGAAACGGATAAAACCAGAATTTCTTCAAACTTTCATATTGAATTGTTAGGTAAATGTATTTACAATGTATTTACAAAATTTTTTAATATATTTTTTTTGTTGCTATCTTTAGAAAAAAACTAGTTGTGTAGCAATTTTCACTTGGAATTGTGCAGTAGGATTGCAAAAGTGCAAAACCACCAATTGTGGCGACTTTTTATGAATATTAGAACTAGTATCAAACTGGTTCTAAAGAACTCAATTGGGTCCAAGTGTACTAGTATAAGCCTAGAACTAAAGGTACTAGTCATTTTTCAAACACACTCAATGTTAATTTGAGCATTATGATAGTATAGGAAAGTTTACAGTTGGGAACTAGTACTGGTGATTTTGGTACTAGTAAAATACTAGTTCCATTTCCTGCAGGGTAATCATTCGTATTCTTAATTAATTTTTTAAAATTATATTAAATTTTATGAGGTAACTGTTCTATTGAATTTAATGCCTGTTTCATAATATCGAAACAACCAGATATATTTTGAGTAATAAACTCCCTGGGAGTTTGTTACTTTTCCTATATCTAAAGCATGCAAAAGGAAATAAAATACAATTGAAAACAAAAACAATTTTAAATTTATTTGTTGTTTTCAATATATTTGAAAGAATGAAAATGTTCTTTCGCATTTAGAGAATCAGGCAGTAATTTTAAGAACTATTTTATAAGTTTAATACTTTAGAATTTAATAAATATTGAATTTATTCCTTAAAAAATGCATTCATATAAGAATTAATAATTCAAATTTTGAATAATTCAAATCTAATACAAAATGGCTTTAGTAAGTTTTTCTTAATTATTTTTGTAAAGGATTAAAGAAAATTTTCAACATTAAGAAAAATATTAATGCATATCGTTAGCTTAGTTCGCAAACGTAACAAAACCACTTTTCATAGAATTTTAGATTTTAATGCTACCTCGTCGAAATTGATTTTAAATTTGTTTAATCTGTATGAAAATACTGTTGATTATTTCAATAAAAAGATATTCTTGAGAGACTATATTCAAATTTTAGTGTTAATATTAGAAAAATCGAAGATACCTTTTTTGAAATATACTTGACTCAAATATTTCAAATATCGGATTTTATTATTCTTGGTTTTAAATTAATGGTTACGTTTCTAGTTTGGCAATTCTTAAAAAAATGTATTGTTACACTGTGATACAATTTTACATTTTTTATTAGAATTGAACGAGACCATATACATATGATACTAGAGGTCATTTGAAGTGAAACTGCGTTTTATGTTTTTAATTTTTTGATCTTTTCTCCTTTTTAAAGGACTTCAAAGTTTTAAGGACATACAAATTTATTAAAATGTATTTACTGAATAGTTTTAGTCAATATGGGAATCAAATGAAAGAGGTCAAACTCCGAAAATCAAATAAATTTTTCGTTTTTTTTAGGACGAAAATTTTTAAATAATATCCTTTGAAAATGTCATCCTTTCATATCCTTGGAAATTTCCATTATATTTTTTAAAAATAAATATAGGTTAAAATTTGTTTCTATAGCTTTATTATTTAAGCCGTAAAAAATTATATTATTACTCTAATATGAAAAAATTAATTTCTTGATAAATAAGGAAGGAAATAAAAGTGAGTAAAATATTGCATATTACTTTTTGAACTGGAACAAAACCAATACGAGTGAAGGTAGAGATCGTATACAGTATTCATAAATTTTTTAAAACAATTCAAAAACTTTTTATTTTCAAACGTATTCGGTATGTATTTTATAAATACAATAAAAAACAAACAAAAAGTGTAAAATACATTAAAAATAAGAACGAAAAGTGCATAAAGAATAGAAAATTGTATAAAAAAATATTACAAATATTATAGTGTAAACATAAAATGTATTTTTCGGATTGATTTTTTGAAAATGCGAATTATTTTCATAATATTTTTAATTTGAAATGTGTTAATACTCAGTATTGTAGTCTGAAAATACCTTTAATAATATTATTTAAAGGTCATAATTTACAATCTTTCAACTTGAAAAATGAAAACAATATTTTTTCCAGAGGAGGATCTTTTTAATTTGATACCCATATTTATATAAGGATAGAAACATTAAATTAAATGTGTACATCCTCAACATTTTAATGTCCTTTAAAAAGAAAAAAAGATCAGAAAGTGAAAAACTGAGTACCCTATTCTTTTGTATGCAATCTCTGCTTTCACGAGTATTTGGTTTTGTTCAAGTCCAAAAAGTAATGTCCAGTATTTTCCTAACACGGATTTCCTTATTTATCAAGAAATTATTTTTTTAATAATATGTAATGTATTTTTTAGCGACTTAACTAATAGTGCTATAGGAATAATATTTAAGTGTGTGGTGAAGAATGCATTTTGGATAAAAATATATTGAAAATTCTCAAGGATATAAAAGGATGAAATTTTCAAAAGACATTATTTACACTTCTTCGTCCTGAAAAGTAAAAACAAAATATAATTTTGATATAATATTGACGAAAATTATTTGATAGAAATATTTAAATTTTTACTTTAAAGTCCTTTAAAAAGGAGAAATGATCAGAAAATGAAAAACTAAAAACGCAGTTTTACTTTATAAGACCACTAGTATCATGTGTATATGGTCGTTTAAGTCCAATAAAGGCTGATGCACGGTATTATAGGATAACAAATTCAAAAGCAAATTATTGACCATAGATATTTTAAAAATGTTTTTTTTTTATTTTTATAATTCTTATACTAAAATTAGGTCAAAATGTCAACGACAACATAAACAAAAATCTGAATGGGACCATGGGGATCTTTAGTAAATCAACTTCCAGTTAAAAATTTTCATCTTTGATATACAAAAAGAATTTAAATTTTCTAACAAAAAATAAATTGTTCGTCGAAAATTAATTATAAATTTGTTTAAATACTGTTGATTATTCTTTGAATTATATTCGTGAATTATAAATTTATTTCTTGAAATCCCCTAATGGTCCCATTCTTTATGATGAGACTACATATATTCTAATTAGTGTTAGTATTAGTTATCTTTTTTTTTTTTTTGATATGTAGTTGACTCATGTTTTTGAATTTATTATTCTTATGTAAAAAACAATAATATTTTTTCTCAAACACATAACCATTAATTTGAGGCCAAGATTTATTTAGAAAAAAAATTTGATGAAGTTTTCTGATGTTGTCTCTGATTTTTGCTTATATCTCCGTTATTTATGGACGGATTTTACTCGAAAGCATGTCTGACAGAATTATTGAAGATTTGAATCCCGAAGATATCTGGGGTCTTCAGAAAACTAATTTCAGCAGACAGACGGACATGCAGACAGACAGGCATGGCTTAATCGACTCCGCTATATACATATAAGGATTCAGAATATATAGGTCGGAAAATTATATTGTCGAAATTACAAACTAATATATAGCCTTCTCACGAAGGTGAAGGGCATAATTAACGATATTGAAAAGTCTTTAGAACTTTAGATTTTGTATTTATTTAAAGAGTATGTGTACCAAATTTCTTCAAATCGGAGAGGGTAAGGTGCGAACCCGGTTTGAAATATTTTAAAACGACCCTTATATAAAAAACTAAACTAGAATAATTGTTAATATTTATAAAAAATATTGTTAATATTTATAATATAATTGTTAATATTTATAAAAAAAAAATTTAAAACCCCAAAAATAGCGCAACAATTATAAAAAATTCCCAAATTTCACTCAATTGAACTGAATATGAACAGGGGTTTAATGAAACAAGTCGAATAAACTTGCCCACTTGCACAAATGGGAAACTTAAACGTTTAAATGAAAACCCTTAATATTTTATTTAATTTCAACGTTTATTCTTTAAATTATAAGAAATAAGTATTTATTTTTTTAATTCACTTCAACAAACATATACACATGATCTTAATTTAAATCGGCTGTGGTTGGAAACGTATTTGATGTTCTCTATCACGGTGTAATTGGGAAAGCAGATGAATTCTCAGTTGAACAATATTTTCAATTGGTTGATGACACAAACGACATGTAGTTGGGGGTATGGAACCGTCACTAAATTATGAATAAAAAAATTATTATTATAATTATGGTTTTATTTTCAAATATAGAATTTAAATACTAACTATTGTCGTTTTCGATGCAGCTCATGGCAGTGCATATTAAGAGCATGAATGCGATCATATTTTTCTTCATATAAACGCATGGACGTTAGTGGCGGAAATAAAGATCGTTTTCCATAAATATTTGTCGGTTCAATTAAATCATTTGCATCCAAACATTTCCATTTGTTGTCATTAGGTCCAACATGAACCTCGATATATTTACGATTTTTACTTAAAAGTCTTTAGATAAAAAATAATTCAATAAATATTCCAACATATGAAAAATATTTGTATTACCTTATAACAAGTTGCTTAATTTTTGTAGTTAAATCATTAATTTCCTTTGATTTTAGATGTGGTCGTTCCTGTTCAGGTTTGGTATATAGTAATGTATCCATTGAATAACGTATTTGATTTATCTGAAAACATAAATAAACTCATATTTTAATCGTTTACTTAAAATATAATATTGTAAAAGCAGCTTACTAATTCCAAATCGTCTGGCAAGATATCTACATCTAAATTAAGCACAATGTCATGATCACCAAATAGAGAGTTGTGGGTATTTTCATCATATCCTAATCCAGCTAATATTGCAACATATTTAGTTTGAGTTTTGTTACATTTAATTTGCATTGTAGGACAGAAGAGTAGCGTCATCAAAGCTCCGAATCCATGTATGTTAGGCATAAGTGTTGTGGCTCGAGCTACAAGAATATCACCATTGGATGATTCGGTAATGTCGGCTGCCACAACTAAGCGCTCGTACATGTCCTTAGGATTACTATCTACTTGAATGAAATTAACTGATTCCCTTTCGAGCGAAACCGTTTTCCACGTGCCTGCACGTATGGCGGAGAATAAATTAAGTTCGATGGGACTGAATGGTCCACGCAATTTTAATGTTTTGTTGCATAAATGCTTGGGTGGGGGTTCTATGTCCATATCGATCTCTGGCCTAATTGACAATAAGTATTCTTCATTTTGTCGTGCGCTATCTTCGTCTAGAAATCGGTTAGCAACCGACTGTTTGCGAATTCGAAAATCGTGATCACTCTAAAAGAAAAACAACTACCTGTGCTAAATACCCTTTACAATAGTATATTTTAATATTTCTTTTTTTTTATTAATTTTCATTGTTATAACCTAGCCTTATAAATCCATAGTTGGTTACAAATTCCTTCTTAAAAAAGTAGGAACACAATTTATTCCTTATAAAATAGGGATGCCAAACGGGACTGGCTTTTACAAATCCCGGGATTCGGGATTTTGAAAATTGCAATCCCGGGATCCCGGGATATTTCGGGATCCCGGGATTTTTCGGGATCCCGGGATTTTTCGGGATTTCGGGATTTTACGGGATTTCGGGATTACATGAATTTATTTATTTTATATATGAAAATCTTTAAATCATCATATTTGTAAAGAAAATTGTTTAATTTTGTGGAAATTTAGAAGACAGAAGATATATTTAAATTAAAACAATCCAATTAATTCCAATTTTTAAATAAAAACTTTCAGAATTGCATAATTTCTGAAACTTTTTAAATACATACTTACTTCCTAAATAAATATCAAGTTCCGAAATTAGACATAAGCACTTTTTAAAACCTCATACTGTTCCATGTGAACTAATAATTATAACAGATACCAATTCAATTATCCGTACATCAATTTAGAACCTATTCTTTGAAAAATATTTGGAACTTTACACAAAATACATGTTAGTTTTGGAACATGTTATTATATTCGTAGTATTAATTTAAAATTTTATGTGCATTCAGAACAAGGTAATTTACCTTTACCGGTATCACTCAGATTTGTAGAAAGTTAGAAATGTAAAATCCTCTAGTATTGAAAAATAAAGTTTGTATTCGACTGTGCCGAAATTAAATACCCACCATCAAAATATTGTAATGTATTGATATTAATATCAGCATCAATGTGATTTTCAGAGGAGGTCCAATTAGGTTTTCTTGTGTCAATTTTGGTCCAAATTTGCATCACAAATGGAATGAGTCTTCTAACTCGTGTTTTTAGCTTACAGACACAGAATGTGTATACTTTTTGGGTCGGTCTACGACCAACATTTCGATGTGTTAACAAGTAAGAAGTTATAGTTGGGCGAAGCCTACCATATAATACCCTACACCAGTTATAAAATAAAATGTGATTTATTGTTCATAATAAAGCATCTAAGTTGAATTGTACCTTGCCTCAGATATACTTTAGCTATTTTTTGTTGAATAAAATTGTGTACATTTAAGTCATATTTCGAAGGGGGCTTTGTATAGGAGCTAGGGTCAAATGAGGCCGTATCATCAAAAAATACATCAGGGTCATGAAGGCTAGTATAGAACTTGGCTTTGCAGCTTTTTGTCGAGATACGAGTATATTAAACATAATTATGAACTTAAAAGCCCTATTCGGCGGGTTCAGTTGTATGGGGGTTGTAGGTCAAGTATTGGACCGATGTTACACATTTTCAATAGGATCCGTCTCTAGTACAATAGAAGATCATGCAAAATTTTATAGAATTATCTTCAAAATTGCTGTAGTTTGATTACAAGGTTTACACGGACGGACGGACAGACGGACGGACATAGCTTAATCGACTCAGAAAATGATTCTGAGCCGATTGGTATACATTAAGGTGGGTATAGGATTAATATTATTGTGCATAACAAAAATCAGCACAAACCCAATATACCCTCCCCACTAAAATGGTGTAGGGTATAAAAACGAAGTGAATAAAGAAATTTATATGTGCTATGTGTATGGAATCATACCACTTTAAAAAATAAAAGGTTTAAATATGTATAAAATTAGCTCTGCGGAATTTAGTTTTGCATGAGTCGAAAATAAAATAAGATCGTAATTTTCAAGTTAATGAAAATTATGGCTCAAAAAAAGAAAATAAAAACAGTTTTTGAAACAAATCCCGGGATTTATTTTGAAAAATCCCGGGTTTCGGGATATTCTAATCCCGAAAAAATCCCGGGATTTATTTTCCAAATCCCGGGATTCGGGATTTGCCAATCCCGAAAAATCCCGGGATTTTCGGGATCGGGATTTCGGGATTGGCATCCCTATTATAAAATAAAATTAACAATGCAGCCTTAATCATATTTCATCGTTGCTCCGACAAAAAGAGTTATGTGTTTTTGTTAGGTTTTCATGAGAGTAAAAAACTGTTTTATTTCGTATTTCGCGTTTTGCATTTGAAGTTATATTTTAGAGCAAAATATGTTTATGTTCAAATATTTAATGATCAAATACCATGGTAATGTATAAACAAAGTATGACCAATTTTCACATAACTGTGTTTGTCGGAGCAACGACAATATGTATACATATTAGAGGTGTCCAAAAAATATCAATTTTGCTCAGATGTGTCTTATTTTGTTTATTAGTGCTTAAAACTTACTTGTGTTCAATTTTAGTTAAATCGGATAACGATAAAATTGGAATGTAAAATTGGGTAAATATTAGTACATTACTACGGACTTTACATGCTTAATTTCATGTTTCTAGGTTCAATATTATAGAAAATTCAAAAAGTACCTTTTGTAGAACGAAAAAGTACCAAAAAGTCACCTTTTAAGTGTTCTGACCTAATCTGGTCAGATTATTATAGAAAATTCAAAAAGTACCTTTTGTAGAACGAAAAAGTACCAAAAAGTTAATTATATTAAATAAATTTCATGTTTCTAGGTTCAATATTATAGAAAATTCAAAAAGTACATTTTGTAGAACGAAAAAGTATCAAAAAGTCCCTCTTTTATGTGTTCTCGCCTAATCCGGGTTCTAGATACTTAATTTCATGTTTCTAGGTTCAATATTATAGAAAATTCAAAAAGTACCTTTTGTAGAACGAAAAAGTACCAAAAGGTCACCTTTTAAGTGTTCTGACCTAATCTGGTCAGATTATTATAGAAAATTCAAAAAGTACCTTTTGTAGAACGAAAAAGTACCAAAAAGTCCCTTTTTATAGGTTCTTACTTAGTCAAGGCCCTACATGCTAAATTTCATTTTTCTAGGTTCAATATCATAGAAAATTCAAAAAGTACCTTTTGTAGAACGAAAAAGTACCGAAAAGTCCCTTTTATAGTTTCTTACCTAGTCAAGGCCCTACATGCTAAATTTCATGTTTCTAGGTTTAATATTATAGAAAATTCAAAAAGTACATTTTGTAGAACGAAAAAGTACCAAAAAGTTAATTAAATTAAATTAATTTCATGTTTCTAGGTTCAATATTATAGAAAATTCAAAAAGTACATTTTGTAGAACGAAAAAGTATCAAAAAGTCCCCTTTTATGTGTTCTCGCCTAATCCGGGTTCTAGGTACTTAATTTCATGTTTCTAGGTTCAATATTATAGAAAATTCTAAAAGTACCTTTTGTATAACGAAAAAGCACCAAAAAGTACCCTTTTATAGATTCTTACCTAGTCAAGGCCCTATATGCTAAATTTCATGTTCAGGCTCTCATGTTTCGAGCCAAAAACAACAATATTGAACCTATAGGTTCAATATTTAGAAAATTCAAAAAGTACCTTTTGTAGAACGAAAAAGTATCAAAAAGTCATATGATCTCGCCTAATTCGGGCTCTACATACTTAATTTCATATTTCTAGGTTCAATATTATAGAAAATTCAAAAAGTACCTTTTGTAGAACGAAAAAGAACTAAAAAGACCCCTTTTATGTGTTCTAGCCTAATCCGGGCTCTACATACTTATTTTCATGTTTCTAGGTTCAATATTATAGAAAATTCAAAAAGCACCTTTTGTAGAACGAAAAAGTACCAAAAAGTCCCCTTTTATAAGTTCTTACCTAGTCAAGGCCCTACATGCTAAATTTCATGTTTCAGGCTCTCATGTTTCGAGCCATTAACAACACACAACGTGATGTTCATTCTTTGTTTTGTGTTTATAAACAAGAAATTACAATAACAAAAAATTTTACCGTTTGATACTGTGTTTTGTTTTTGTTTGTTTATTGTTTCTGTATAAAAAACATGCACGAAAAATGTAAATTTTTAATGAAATTATCAGAGGTGGTCTCGGATTTTTACTCATATCTTCGTTATTTATGGGCCGATTGGGCTGATTTTAAATAGCGTTCTATTCGATCGTATTTCCGATAGAATTATGGAAAATTCGGATCGCGCAGATATCTGGGGTCTTCTGAAAACTGATTTCAACATACACACAGACAGACAGACGGACATGGCTAAATCGACTACGCTATCTATAACGATACAGAATATATATACTTTATAGGGTCGGAAAATTATATTATAGAAATTACAAACGGAATGACAAACTTATATATACCCTTCTCACGAAGCTAAAGGGTATAATCATATAAATTTGTTTATTTTACTTTAATTTGCTCTTAATTGTAAAAAAAAACGGGCCAAATATAGTAAAAAAATCGCCCGGACCAAATATTTTCCATGCACACAGCAGATGTAATCCTCTACATTATAGATGTTCTGTCTGTCAGGATGTAATTGGTAGTTCAGTGCAATGACTTTTAATAGATAGCTATTTTACTGCCCCCTTACTATCCCAGACAAACCTGTGCAAAAGACCTCGCGCTGTACTGTGCATACTAATCTGCATATTCCTCAACTACAATAACAAACCCCCAGCAAAAACAGCGTCTTTAATGACAAATATATACTTCAACAAAGGCCCCCTAGGTGGCCCCCTAGGGATTCCAAACAATCTTTCAAGATCTTTTCTCAATTATGGACCTCTTTCCTAAGTGATATCTAAAGGCGTTGTTTACAAACGGCCCAGAATAATGCACTCCAAATTACAACCAAATGCGTTAAGATGACGAATGTGTATCACCTACATGAGGAGACTAGGTTATTACAAGTCAGACAACATTGGCATGCCATCACCTTAACCATCAGATTCTGATGCAGGATCTCCCTCCCAAACACATGCGGATGGACTTCCGACGCTTTCTCAGCGACTTCCAAGACATCATACCATCAATGTCAATTGCAAGCGACGGAGAAATGTTGCATCAAATGGCAGATGCAAAGGGTTCCAAATCAACACCCCTTGCGATCTCGAATTGTTAGAGTCAATAACACTTTAAAATACTACAGTCAGGATTACTCCAAGTTTATCACAGCTAAGACACTTTTTACCATGGAAAAAATTACACAGGCCAACCATGAAAAAGCTTTTTAAATAATTTTCACTAATCCTAGTATTATTTGGTGTGCTGATACCGAAGACACAATAAAGTCTCCGTAACTATAGAAACGACCTTATTTTGAGGTAAAAAATAATTTTTATCAAAAATTATCCGTTAGAATTTTATGTTTTATATCTTAAATAAAAAGTATTTAACACTACTTTCTTATGATATATACAGTTTACAAGTTTTTTTTGCTCCATCGTATTTTATTGGTATTTCAAATATTTAGCATTGGAAAAAATAATAGAAACGATTCATAGTATTACACTGGAGACATAAGCTATGATTTCTTAAACGGCGTTTCTGTACTTATTTTAAAAATTTTAATTGTAAATGATATTCCCAATATCAAAATATACTTTTTCCTAGGTTCTTTATGTTAACGTGTGTTTTTTTCAACGCCTGGTTGAGCTCTGACGGCTGAATTGGAGCCACGACTTTCAACGAACGAATTTACTTAACATTGTTAAATTACTTAAAAAAATAGTTCTTTAATAGATTTCGAGCCGAAGAAGTTTTGAATACGCTTTTTTTAGCGATTAATAGAAGAATAATACTTTCGTAGTGTTTTTTAGTATATTTGAGGATTCAATATAATTTTCATATTTGACTCTTTCGTTGCTAGTATTTACAGGAAAAGTAATCGAACAATTCTTATATTTTGTTTAAATATCTTACGTTGCAGACGCGTGTTAACTCCGAGCCCATATTTCTCTAATTATAGAAGGGTTCACTTGAAAATTTGTCATTAAATGCATAATCTATAAAATGTATGGTAAATATTTCTGCCAAATTTAATATATTTGTTTGTTTTAACCCAATACAACAAACGTTTGTTGCAAACTGTATTTACCATTAGTATAACCATATGCATATATTTTATTTACCTTAGACATGTAACTTTCATCAGATGTACGAGCAAGGCCTTTTTCCACTAAAATTTCATTTAGTGTACTGTTATCCTTCTTTATTATTACGTTTGATACTCCGTCAACTACAGAGTAGACTTCTATTTCAATAATACCGGAATCAGCATACTCTTGCACAAGTTCCATAGCTTCATCTGTCCATTGCTCATTGGGCGAACGTACTGGAGATGGTTCTATCATCACTAGACGACATTCAAATAATCTTGGTGGAATGTCCGCCAAAGACTTACATTTATCCGAAAAGTAACGTAATAGATGAAAATCAACTGTTGCCATGTTACCATAATCGATGAAGAAAACCTAAAAAAAAGTTCAGTATAGATGAGCCCACAAATCTAACTCTATAAATATTGAAATGACATAACAGGTAATAATTAAGATATGCTTAAAATTGTATAAATGTAAATTCGATAAGGATAATATATTAATTAATTAAGACTACATACCTTAACTTGTTTATGCTGTCGCGTTACCTCAATGGTTTTGATAACTCTAGCTCTATGATACTTATTTTCGAAAGGTGCTGAAAGTATCATTCCAGTGGCTAAAGTGGTATTATGAGGAAACTTACAATTTTCGATGTCTATTGGATTATTAAGCATTTCTTGTATTTCTTGCATACGCTCCATTTCCGAGAGAGGTTGAAAATAAAATTTACTACAATTTTCGATCTAAATTTAAGAAGAGCAGAATCTATTGAATCAAATTTATTGATGTAAAATTTCACTGTGGCCGACATACATGAGTTATATAACCGCTAATATTTTTTTGAAAAACAGATGGGAGAACTACCAACTCTGCATTTTTCAATAAACGTTTAGTTGGCCGCCATGCTCCATCGCACATTATACCCAGTCCATGATCTTCGGCAAACTTGACACCAGAACGTGATCTTTAGTGTGAAAGTTTAATTGTAATATACATGTAATAAAATCGGTTTAATTATTTTGCAATTTTATAATAAACTTACTCCATAACATCAAAGGATGTAGGCATATTTAAATGACGCATCCTTAAGGCTTTGTACACCTCTGTACATACAGCTCCTGGCATTTTAACGCGTACAGTATCTTGTGTATCATTTGTAGTAATGCTTTGATATTCATTAGCATCACTTTCAGGATCATTTTTAAAAATCACTAAAACTCTTTCTGAGTTTGATTGGAAACTAATATCAATATTTTTTGGATTAATGTGAACGTCTTTAAATAGTTCTTTAATTGAACGTGTGTATAATTGACCAATGTGTCGCGTATCAAAATTAGAGAAATAAACTGTTCGGCAGGGATCATGACCACATAAAATGTGATACTTTGTTCGCTCTTTATCAATATCATTTTGTTTGTTATAAACAAAGTAATTCGGATAGAAAGCACCAGCAATAATAACTTTTAAAATTGTCGCCTTTTCCCATTCCTGCCATTGAGAAAACTGAGATCGATTGTTTTCCTTAATGCCGAATCCACTTAATCGTCCCTTAATTTCTTTCACTAATAAATGCATTTCTCGAATTGAACGAATATTAATTAAGTTTTGATTAGCCCACTTATATTCACTTTCATCGAAATGTTCATCTTGTTTTAATCTAGACCATTCCTAAAAACAAATGTAAAAGCAATGTGTTTTATTTACATTTACCTCATACATTTTATAAAAACAAAAACAATTTACAAGTAAAAAACGCTTACATATTCATACATACATACATACCCAGCAAAAATAATTGACGTCATACTTTGCAAAAGACATCTTAATCACATCTAAAAATACGATTACATATTTTTCGTATTTATAAACCAAATATTTAATTACAAATGAAAACCCAGTTAAAAGTGAGGATAGAGATGTTGAAAATATACAAATAACATATTCAAATTACATCAAACTTTGATGAAAAGCCAATGAAATTTATATAAGCATGTCATTAAAGGAATGTGGTTTATTTGTGGCATCCAAATATTGAATTTTTACTGCTTCTAAAAATGAGATTAGATGTAGTTCAAAGTTGTCAAAATTGAACAACATTCCTCCAATGACAGGCTAATGTAAAATTCATGGGTTTTTCACCAAAATTAAAAGTACTTCAAGTATATTATTAGTGGTAAAATTCTACTTCTTTATCCTAACTTTTTTTGCTAGGTACCTGTTTATGCACATACCTACAGACATGTGGGCAATTTCGTGTCAAGTGACCAAACTCAATTAATCAATTTGGATGAAATTTGCACCAAAGTTAGTACTATGGGATAGCAGGGCAGACTATAAATTTCTATTGGAAATAGTGAAGAAATAGCTGTCTAAACTCCTATGGACAATTTTTGCTAGGACTAATAGGGGAAATGTTACACTCATTTGAAAAAACACTGTATGACCAAAATGGAAAATTGTTTTAAAAAATCTTGGATAAATAAGAAATGACATAGTATACAATTAAATTTTCATTTATTTTTAGAGGAAAATTTTGTCATAAAATGACAAGATTATCAATCTTCAATATGAGTTGAGGCCCACAAAATAACAGATTTCAGATAATTAAATCGATATTATTTCGACATTTTCGTCATAGATTTTTTTATTCTGTAATTATTTTAATGAAAATCATTTATTTGTACTTACTCTGTATGCATTAAGGATTGCAATTAAATCGGAACCAGAACCATCAGCCCATGATAGCTTTTTGATGTAAGCATTTATTTCACCACAACGTTTATAGTTTTGAAATTTAAAAATTGAACGTACACTTAAACCAGCAGCTGCGTATAGAAAAAGTACATATAAATAATATACATGTGTACATATCTACATTAGGGTATTACTTTTGCAATTTTGCAAATATCACAGTTAACACATGTTATCGTGCAAACGTTTCCGTACCAAACGCGATTAAATATCACTTTTTGTATAAATATCTTTTTTTTAAATTAATATTTTGCGCAAAAATTTTGCAAGTTTTTTTTACATTATCTTATAGAGAGTATGTTTCTTTACAGCAATGTTACGAAATTTTCAATAAATCGCTATAATATTCCATTTTTAGACAATAGTATCACTTTATTTGAAAATTATTAAAATAATTTTAGTAAAAATAATGAATAAAAGCATTTTACAAATTGCATTAAGTGCGGAAAGTTTTTTCCAAATTGACTTAAATAAACTTTTTTAAGCGACAAAATAAGTACCACAGCACCACCTTATAGCCAATACTATCCTGATTATTTAGTGAAAAAAATCCCGCAATGAAAGCAATTATTTTCATATTAATGAATACTATTATCTAAAATATGCAATATTATCGCGATTTTTTCTTTAAGATAATGTAATTAATATGCAAAACTGTTGCCAAATATACTTATTTTTCTCATTTAGAAAAAATTATATTTATACAAAACTTCATCGCGTTTGGCGTGGGAACATTTTTCACGATAGCGAAAAAATGATATCACATTCCGTAACATCTGTTCACGCTCTACAAGCCCTTGCTATGGAATTTTTGATATTTGCAAAAATTGCAAAAAGTTATTACCCTAATGTATTTACATCTTTTTAAAAACTTTCATAATTCAAAATTTTATTAGGATAATGTATAGGGATTAAAAATAGAGAGCGCATCCTATGACATGACTGATATTTTTCTACATTTACATGTAATAAATTTTAAATTTATTTTCACTCTTATAATATGTAAAAAAGGAAATTCTACTTATTTTATTTAAAAAAATGGCTAAAATAATAATACACTCAAACCTCGTTTTATGCGTATTTATTTTATGCGAATTTGAATTAGTGCGGTTTCAAAATTCTAAAATTTTTCTTAGCAAAAATAATTTTGAGAAAAATGTTGGTCCACATACATCGAAAAAAATTTCTCAACAAAGTACTACTACTGATTTTTTACCAATTCCGATTCGGATATATAAAGTATTGTTCAAATCCTTTGTACACGAAGAAATATTATTTTTTATTTTTAAGAAATTTTGTACATATACTTCATTATTTGGAATTTGTATTGTGTTATTATTTGTTACCTTTATTTTTCATCATTTTTTAATAGTTTCAGTAGAGAATAAATTTTTTTTTGATTTTTATACGCGATTTTGTTTGACTTTTAAGGGAATAATTTGAAATAGTGCGCTTTTTTATTAAAAACCCAATTACTATATTTTGTATGGAGCTAGTGTATCGTTTTGTGCGAATTCGAATTATGCGTTTTTCTGCGAAACGAATTAACCGCATAAATCGAGGTTTGAGTGTATACTGAATTATTTTTTTTTTAACTTGCCTATTATTATTGATTCTTCCAATGCACTGAATGCGTATCCCATCATTATTAGACGTGTTAGACGCACATCTAATGGCAAAAAAGCCATTATACGACCCATATAAGTTATATCGCCATCATCAATTGTATATTCTCCATTCGTGTACTTATATAAGGCCCCAACTTCCTTTAATGTTAAAATTGTGTTGTGTATATCACACAAATTTGGCGGGCTCATTGCTAAAGCGAGCACATATGGAGGCGAACCCATCTCAAGTAATTTGGATTTCAATACAACGCTTTCTAAAGGACAACGTAACATTTCTGGTTTACTAAAGTCATCCAAAAAATCCTAGAAGTAAATTTATTAAATGCAATGTTTTATTTATTATTATTTTTAAGTTAATATAAAAATTTTCCATCGTTTATTAAATAATAATGCTGTCAAATGTGCAAATATTTTATGCATTAGCTATTTAATGGTATGTTGGAGTATTACAACACTATGCATTTAAGGGTTAAATATTATTGATTTTTCACCAGTGATTTTTCTATTAACCCTCCCCCAAATTTACCTTTTCTTTCCTTTAGGAAACAATTGACTTCCTTATAGGAAATGTATGTACATTAGGTATATAACCATATTGTGGACCTATCACCACACAATAGCCAATATTGTGATATTTACGAAAACACTTTTTTGCGCTCGTTTCAAATTAAAAAACTCATGGAAAAAATTAATCTTTCAAAATTGGTTAAAAAAATATAAACTAAATTTGTTTCTATCGATATTGCCAAAATCTTCATGTTTATCTAAGATTTTAAACTTGGGTTAATTGCGGAAAATACACCTACATATACATAAAAAATAAATCAAGATTTAAAAACTTTAACGCGATCTGAGTGTGTGAACTTTTTCAACTACTGCGAAAAAAATATTTTTTCTATTCGGATTTTGAAATTTGCAAAAATATGAAAAAAATGTATATTCCCAAAGTTCAAATAAAAATAACTTGTTATATAGCAAGTGACTCATTGATGTTATTGACAACTTTCTACTAGAATTTTGTTAACGGTATTGGAACTGAAAATATATTTTAGCGTTTCACATGGATGGAGAATAAACAAAGTTCTTTCTTGTTTGATTTGAGAACTGTTTAACGCTCACGACATCTTTTTAATTTTTTACATGCATTTTTTAATTTTTTTTATTAATTAACCTAATATACATGTTTTTACGTACCTCATAAAATGAACGAGGTATTAAGCGATAAACACGCCCATTCATAACACGTCCAGCACGACCAGCTCGTTGTCTGCAATTTGCTCGAGAAGCCCATTGTATTTCCAATTTCGTGAAATTAGTGGACGTATCTGTCACTAATAATTTGGTCAAACAAAAGTCAATTACTGAAAAAAATAAATTAAATTAGTACACAAAAATTTTAATGCATCTATTATAGTGGTCTCGTTTGTATGGTGATATATGAAATTATATGAGGTTTACTCTTTTTATGGATCAAACCATCTCAAAGAAAATATACGAAAATGTGGCATCCAAATTTCTCGTAAAGAAAATATACCCATGAATGATCCCCACTAACAAACGCATAATACCCTCCCCACTGCAGGATATAACAAGTAAGAAAGTATAGTCGGCGTGACCGACCATATGATACCCTACACCAGTTATGAATATTAAATGTGATTTATTTTTCATAATAAAGCATTTATATTCTATTACCTTATTCCGATACATTTAAGCAATTTATTGATGAAAAACTAATTTTCTGAAAGAGGCTTAATAGGGGGCTAGGGGCAAATATGGACCAAGCCCGATAAAGTTTTGTAAATATATTTATATTTTTATAATATTTATTTGTGCTGAATTTCATCGCTATATTTGTGTTTATAAGTTAATTTTGGACATTCAATTAATTTTCGGAAGGGGACTTTGTATGGGAGCTAGGGTCAAATGAGGCCCGATCTTTATGAAATTTGGGAAGGTCATCAAGGTTTGTATAAAACTTAGTTGTGCCGTTTTTTATCGATATACATGTATATTTAACATAATTATGAGCTCAGAAGCCCTTTTCGGATGGTTCTGTTGTATGGGGCTAGGTGAAATAATGGACCGATTTTAACCATTTTCAATAGGCTTCGTACCTTGCGCACAGTGTTTACATGGACAGCCAGCCAGCTTAATCGACTCAGAAAACGATTCTAAGCCGATTGGTATACTTTAATATTAATATTTTTGTGCGTTACAAACATCAGCACAAACCCAATATACCCTCCCCACTGAAGTGGTGTAGGGTATAAAAAAGGCTATACATTTTTCCAATAATACTTACCATACTTTACATCTGGAACAGTAATAGAACTTTCAGCAATGTTGGTAGCAAGAATAACTTTTCTATAGCCTGGAGGTGGGCGATTAAATACTCTAACTTGTTCATCTGGCGAAATGATGGAATGCAAACGTATTGGGCAAAGTCGTACCTGATTACTAACAAAAAAAAATATTTGTTCATGTTATATTTTTATACAAGTTCAATCGAAATATGTACATGATGTTTTAAAAAAATTAGAAACAATTGAAACATTTGCACTTACTTATCCGTATCTTTAAGTTGTTCCAATTTTTTACACATCTGTTCAATTTCATTTATGCCCGGTAAAAATATTAATATTGATGTTTTATTATTTTCATCGACATCTGGATCTGCACTGAATGCAGCATCTTGTTTTTCAATATTATCAATAACTATTATTAATTTTAAAGCTAAATTGTACATTTCGACTGAAATTCCCGGATCATTTAGACTTACTTGGGCATTCTTAAATAGATTAAACAAGAACATTATTAATAAACAATAATAATAAAATTTTTAATTTTACTTACTAGGTTATTAATACGATCTAAATCACAGAGATAAAATTCTTTAACTTGGAAAAGTCGACGAGTGTCGGTTCCTATTACTGGAGCAGGATTTTTTCGAACTTTAAAATAATTTGAAAACTTAAAAAAAATATATATAAATATTAAGTAAATTTATTAAAATAATTATGTTTTTTTTTAATTAAAACTGAAACAAGTAAGAAAAAGCAGTCGGTGAAACTTGGCTGTAAAATTAAATATTTGATATCAATAGCGACGTTTATAATGGTTTTATGCAGATTAAGGTGGTCGTTAAATGAGACCTAAATCATGGATTGGTCGTCATGAAATTTGGTGCAATGCCGAAAGATGAGTATTGGACAATTTTAAGTAAGGAAGGATCATACCTGAGGATATTAAATTGTGTGTTTTATTATAGTTTTATTCCTTTTATTAGAAACACAGAACATTATTAGTGTCGAACGTGATCATTTAGTTCAGAACATATTTATAATTTAAATGGAAACGACCCGTGACTTTGTCTTGATGTGCTACGCAACATTTGTGCTTCCGGTAGTTTAGTACATAGTAAGTGTTATATTCTGTAAAAGCCGATATTCACACCAGAGACACTGGTAATGGAGCGCACAACAGGCACGATAAAGGCCTAGGTGTATTAATTGGGATTTGATGTAATAAACTAACTAACTACACTGCACTAATCTTTGATTTCATCTGTTTCAAAGTAACGGTATTTAATTTATTTTTTTGGTCACTATGTGTTTCCATTCCGTGCTTTTTCTTGAGTGAAATCGTCATTCAGTGTGACTTACGACATATTGTTCACTCAAAAGAGATTTAAATTTCATGAACGGATTCTTATTCTCTATAGCTTTAATAATAGTTGTGTTTTATTAGATGACAAATGCTACATTATAACAGTTGTATTCATAAAAAATGCTTATTTTAGATTTAAATCACACAATAGTTAAAGTACACTTTAGACTTAAAAGACATTAATAAAATTGTGGTATTCATAAACAAATAATAAACCTACATTAGGTAGGTAGGTAGGTAGGTTGATAGGAGGATGTATACTACATCAAATCCGAAGAAATACACCTAGGCCACTATCGGGCCTGTTGTGCGCTCCAATTCAAGAAAAAAAAAAAAAAAAAAAAAAAAAAAAAATTGTTCACTGAATGTATTATTTTTCCATGTTCAGAAACTCAGTTTCCTGGACGTAATTCCTAAGAATCTTCCAATCGGTGTTGGTTAAGAATGTTATTTCTGGAATAACATCACTTCCAAGATACTTGGATCTAACTTCGACGAATGCCTGACAATGGCAAAGAAAGTGCTCCAGAGTTTCACTGTCCTCTCCACATGCTCTACATTCGTCTGAATTCGCACGTCCAATTTTGTATAGATGTGCTCGTAATCCTGTGTGTCCACTGAGAATACGTACCATCATACTAACCTCAGACTTGCTCATTTTGAGAAGATTTCTCGTCTTGCTCTCATCAGGGTCACCCCATAGAATCTTTGTGGTTCTACCCACCGTTTCATTATTCCAAGAGGCCTTATGGGATTCTCTCATCCATATTTTTAATTCAGCTTTTGTTGCGTCGAATGGTTTTGCGTTTGTCAGGTTAACTACATCGAGCTCCCTTCCCTTTAAAGCTATTACATTCGCCCTTTCGTTGCCGGCTACTCCCGAGTGGCCTGGTACCCATATGATGTGAACCTTACCTCTGGGAGAGTATTCAGTTAAAGCTTTCTTACAATCCAATACGGTCTTAGATTTAATTCTATCACCTGATATCGCACAAATTGCCTTCTGGCTGTCGGTAAATATATTAAGCCCTGTGGGCGCCATATTTATTCTAATCCAATTTACACATTCCGTTATTGCTCGTACTTCTGCCTGGAAGCTTGTGTTATGATTAGGTAAACGGTGGTATATTTCTGTTTCTGGGTCTTCAATATAGAACCCCAGACCCACTTTGTCCCCTAATTTAGAGCCATCCGTGTAGCAACGGATTCCTACTGGTATTTGCTCTAATGTTCCGCTTGACCAAGACATTCTATCTGGGATTAGCGTTTCAAAGTTTCCGACATATTCAGTGTCTGGTATGCGATCAGGCACGTCCGATGAATGTGTATAACCTTCCAATGTGTCCAGTATACATTGATGACGTGTCCTATAACCGTTTTTGGCCAGTTCGCCTAAAGTAAAGAGCCGTTCGGCTGTAAGCGCCGCCTCATATCTTATATATGTTTCAATGGGTGGAATATCTAGCAACGTTTCCAGAGCCTTGGTTGAAGTAGTACACATGGCACCACTTATACCCAAGCAGCATGTACGCTGAACTCCCTGTAGTAGTTTGATATTACACTTTTTGTCCAAAGCAGTCCACCAGATTATTGAAGCATAAGCTAGAATTGGTCTAATTACACTTTTATAAAGCCAATTTGTCATAGTAGGACTAAGACCCCATTTCATGCCTATGGTTCTCCTACATATCGCCCAGCACCGATGTGCCTTGTTGATCCTATCCTCTATGTGGTGTCTCCATTTTAATTTCCGGTCAAGTATTACACCTAAGTACTTAACTTTGTCTGTCACCGGTATCTTCTTGCCCAAGAAGCAAGGTTCAGTATATGTAGAAATTTTTGTCTTTCTTGTGAAAAGACAGATTTCCGTCTTCGCCGGGTTAACATTGAGGCCTCTCGGTTGAGCCCAGCTCAAGGCCGTATTCAGAGCCTCCTCAGCTCTTCTACACAAGTAATTTGGATCCTTTCCCTTTAAAAGTATTACGACATCGTCTGCATAGCAGACAGGTCTAAGTCCTTTCTCGGTTAGGGTCCTTAGGAGGCTATTAATCGTGGTGACCCAGAGTAAAGGTGACAAAATGCCACCCTGTGGTATACCGCGAAATACCTTTTTCCTGATAGTTATATCGTACATCTCGCAGCTTATCCATCTGTTCCTTAGCATGTAGTTGATCCAGTTACGGAGCACCCGGTCAACATAAAACTGGTCTAGGGATTGGATAAGGGTATCAGTGTGCACGTTATTGAAAGCGCCTTCGATGTCAATGCATACTGCCAGTGTATACAGTTTGCTATCGAAAGATTCACTTATGTAGTGGACAACTTCATTTAAAGCGGTCTCCACCGATCGTCCCTTTACATAAGCATGCTGCTTATATTTAAGGTCATTGTATGGTATGCTGCTTTTAACCATGCTATCGACTATCCGTTCCAAGGTTTTAAGTAGGAAGGACGTAAGACTTATCGGTCGATAGGACTTAGGTGTCGCATAGCTAGGTTTCCCTGGTTTGGGTATAAATATTACCCTTGCATCCTGCCATTTAACTGGGGTATATGCCAATTTTAAGCATGCAGTGAATATCTGTGACAGATGTACGGAAACCAGTCCCGCCTCCATCTGCAAAAGTGCCGGGAAAATTCCATCCGGCCCTGCAGCTTTATAGGGAGCAAAGCTCTTGATTGCCCCTTTAACCATGTCAGTTGTAATAACTATTTCCGTGTTACCCTCCCCTTCCTCCAATATCGGTTCATCTATGTTATTCGATATACCGGGTGGGAAATGAGAATCCATTAGGAGTTTCATTGTCTCCTCCATATCCTCAAGCCTCCTGCCCGTGTCATCGATCATAGATTCCGGTTGGACATGAGTTTTGGATAGGAATTTTTTTATCTTCGATACCTCATTTACGCTATCTACCTGTTCACAGAAAAGTTTCCAGGAGTCTCGTTTGGCTCTTCGAACGATTTTCTTATATTCACCAAGTTTATTACGATACTCATCCCAGTATACTGCGGTCTTTTTACGCCGTGCCCGGTTAAATAGTTTGCGAAGAGTCTTCCCAAGGTTCCGGATCTCCCCAGTTACCCAGGGTTTTTCCTGGGCAGATCTCCGCTCTCGCAGAGGGCAGCTGTCCTCGAACGATTCAACCAGGGCACTTGTGAACGTTTCCACTTTGGCATCTATATCCTCTTTATTTCGACATTGAAAAGTGTCCTGACCTAAACGGTTCTTTAGTAAGGCCCCGAACATTGTCCAATTAGTTTTAGACTTATTCCGAAACTTTATCGACTATTGTGCTGTTTATTGTTTAACTTGGCAGCACTGTACAATTTGGCTGTCATTTTCTGTGTTAGTGTTGCGAACAATTAGGATAAAATATTCGTTGAGTCGGTTTTCTTAATTTTATATTTTTGGTTATAACACATTTTTGAAAATAAGAACGAACTTTTAAGAAAAATAAATGTATACATGGCTACAATAAATATATATATAGTTCAGATGAATGAATATAACATATATATTTTTAATTATAAATAAAAGTATTCGAATAACGAATATTTTGTGACAAAATAAACATCACTATGCACATTTTTTTATTTTTACTTATTTTTATAGCAATTTTTAATAAATTTTTGCAAATACTGATAAATTTCTTTGATATAAGACTACATTTTATTGCCGGAGAAGATATTTTGCATTGATAGAACACTAATCAATATAATTTACACTCTTTATTACTTCATGGCTTTATATTTTGCGAATAAACTATGAAAAAGACAAATAAAATGATTGTGGCCATGATTTGATTGACAGACGGGCATTTCCAAATTGCCAAAAATAGTATTGACCAACTGGAATACTGTCAAATATTCATCTATTAATCCAATAATGCCTAGATTTTAGTTTTTTCACCAAAATATAAACTTTTAAAATTTATCTGGAATTTTATTTACAAATTTGTAAACGTTAAAATTACAATTTTTAGATTTAATTTCAGAATAAACCATGATTAGTTTTCGTCTTCAACCCAAAATTAATGGAAAAAGCTTAATCAGAGACAAAATTTGTAAGAATTATACTTATTGTTGGCTTAAAGTAGGGTTGAGCGTACAATAAATTTTTTCTATTTGTCATTGGTTTATTGAAGGTATTTTAAGCTATTTGACGTTTAAGAATACCATTTTCGTGGATTTTGCTTAATAATGTTTAATAAACCTAAATTAACTTTTTATGAATACAACCGTAAAACTGGTATTGTATAATTTCTTTAAGAATCATTTATTAAAAACGCTAAAATTTATTTTTATGTCATTGCGTTGCATTTTTTTCTGCTTGCGCAAAATGTTCACTTTTTTCATAACTATAAAAAAAAATTGATTACTGTTATTTCGAAAGAGACTAAGTCAAAGATCATATGGTCACGCGTTAAATTTTTGTGCTTGCTACTGTACCTAATAAAAACAAAAATTTATTGAAAAAAAAAAACAAATATTTGCACTTCTTCGGACTTCAAACGTATTTACACTTAAAATGCATGAAATTAACTTTAAATTTATTACAAAGATTGTGAGAGTGATAGAAGCAAAATAAGATTCTGTTTTGAGTTTTTTATGCCTTTTTTCATATTTCTAACAAATAAACTATGTGTAAATTTTTTATCATATAAAAAGTATTTGAGAGACGATTTCAATGACATAACACAATATTCTATTACTTTTGCTGTTACACACAAATTCCTGATATGCAATTGAAAGCGTCTCTCAAGGACCCTTCGTATGATAACAAAATTTCATGTTTTTCCTTTGAAAAGTACATGAAAAAATTATAAAAACCTTAAAGAAGGCCTTTTTATCCTTATATAGAACACCAAATATTAACGCCAGGACAAACATTTTGAGAAACGGGGTCATAAAAACGATTAAAATTTAGTTTTAGTTGGGAACATTTACACCTTATTTTTCCTCCATACAAACGAGCCACCTTAATGTACAGTAATAATATATGAAAGTTTTATGATACTTACCGTTCTCGTGTCAATGGTAGCGGACATTAAAATTATTTTAACATGCTTTGAAGTTGTTACTAAAAGACGACGCACAATAATCAATAGAAAATCCATATCTTGATCACGTTCATGAACTTCATCTAATATAATGTGAGTATAGGGTGCCAAAGTTTTGTTCTTAATCAATTGTTGCAAAAGGACACCGGTAGTGCAGTAAAGTAATCGCGTATCATCACTAGAGTTGGCATGTAGGCCGACCTTAATTAAATTATTTATCGACAATGTAACAGGTTGTATTAATAAAAGACACCATAATTGTTGTAATTAAATGCCTCTTTTTAATTAAATATGCATACCTGATATCCGACAACCGTACCTTCAGTCCAATTTCGTTCTGCAGAGACACGACGACATATTGAAATGGCTGCAATTCGTCGTGGCTGTGTGCATACAATTTTGCAATACTCACCACGACGGTATGCATCATCTAAGATGTATTGTGGAACCTTAAAATAAAAAAAATAAATTAATTTTTATAAGTATTTGTTACAACTAATATTTCTATCACACAAAGTTGAATATTTTATATTACGGTGCGGTGCCTAAATAACCCAGTACCGGCGGAATGTGTTGCTTGCGAGGCATATCATCATGTTAATTAAGACACCATACAAAATTTGGCTTTTATATACAGAAATCTTACTGTCATAATTTTTTTCAATCGATCCACAATTGGTCATAGCTCCTATACAAGGTCCCCTTCAGAAAAACATTTAAATGCATATAACTCATTACCATACAAATTGTTTTAAATTTTTTACACAGAAAAGATACTGTACATTTTTTTTCCATCGGTTCATACACGGTTCTAGTGGCTCCCATACAAGGTCGACTTAAACGCACATTGCTTATTACCAAATAACGCTATTGATACAAAATATGGCACAAATATTACCTTTATATACAGAAATTATACTCTAAATTTTTACGATTTACGATTGGTTCATAATCGGTCGTAACTCCTACACACAGAAAACAGATCGATTGGAAATCGTTTACCATGATTAATATTTAGTTAAATTTATTAAAATTGTATCGCTGTTATTGAAAAACTGTATAATTAACTGATTTTCTGTATTCAGTATTAAAAAAAACATAATAATATTCGAATTGTGGTTTTAACAATTTCCAAATCAATAATTTGAACTGAATTGTATCGGTTATTAAATTCATTTGTGAATTCAATAAATGCAACTGACTTTTATTTAGGATTAATACATAAGAACATCAAATATTTGTCGCTGTAACCGTAAAACAGTAGAAAGTAAAAAATATTGAGCCCTACAACCAATTATCAATTGAAAAAATTATTAAAAATTTAATTACGGTTAAAAGAACCAAATTCAATGTTCACAAACGATTAATTGGTAATTGTAGTTGACGTATACAAAAAATAAATATAATAAAATGAATTTATAATTTAAAATAAACCTAATTACATTTGAGGATAAATTAATGCGGAAACTCGGATAAAACAAGGTAATGTTAAGAATATTTTATATCTTATATCTTTTAATCTATTTTGTTATTTTTCTAAAATTTTTAATAATTTTACAGCCGCAGAAAAGCGTGGAAAGATAGCGTTCCTTTGGAAATGTTGGACAGAATGAAGAGCAAAATCCCTGGTACATAAACGCTATGTTTATTAACATCAAAATCTTAAAACTAAAGGGGAGAAGTTGTTATTTTATATTTATAAGTTTTGTAAGTTTAAACATATTCATATTTTTGTAAATATTTTAAACAAAATAAAATGTATTTTAAAATACACATAATCCACAAATTGGTTTTCAATAAATAATATTTCATTTGCAAATACCAATAATTTCAACCTAGATTACCGAATAAGAAATACAAATAGTTGTGCACAATGTATATTCAGTAATAGCAACCGAATTTTACAATAATAACAATCGAATTTTAGGATAGTTGTGAGAACCGACTGAGTTCGATTGGAAACAAATTCGGTTATCACAACGAATCTGTTTTCTCTGTGTATACAAAGTCCACTTCGAAAAATCGCATACATAAATGTATATTACTCATTACCAAATAATGACATCCTTACAAAATTTGGCAAATATTAGTTTTGTATACAAAAAAGCTATTTCAAGATTATTTAATGATCGGATCATAATGTGAGTGCGATCGGTCCCATACAAGGTCCCCTTCCGAAAATCACTTAAAGACACATTACATATTACCAAATTACAATATAGATACAAAATTTGACTGAAATATAGCTTTTATATACAGACATGTTACAGTATTTAACTATTTGCATTATCATTAGTAAAATTATCTTAGTATAAACAATTTGCGTACAATTTGAATTTCCCTAAATCTTGCACACACGTGCATATATACAAATTATTAAATATCGCTAAACTATATCTTAGGGGGCTATAAAATTATAAAAGAAAATGGTGTTTGTAATGTTCAATAAATCTTGCAATTGTAACAGATTTAAGCTATTTAAATCTTTGGGTTTTTCTATTAAAAACCATGAGAAAACTTATTTCTACAAATATGTATTTGATCAATTAAAAAAGTATTTATACAAAAGTAGCTGGTGGAGGGTATTTAAGATTCGGATCAGCCGAACATAGCACTCCAACTTATTTTATGAGTTTTATGTGATATGGATCATAAAGCTACGTTCACAATGCTGGAGTACTCCACACTCCAGAAAATTATATTTCTTTCTTTCTCATACTAATAGAATTTCAAATTTGACTATCTCGTTTTAATTCACTCCAGAGTCAAACAAATTCTACTCCAGAGCACAGTGGGAGAAATGGCCAATATGGTGTCGCAATAAGGAAATTTTTAGAGATGGGAAAAGGGTAAAAAGCAAATTGGTAAATACCCAGTAAAATGGATAAATTGGGTAAAAATGGGTAAATACCCAGGTGTTTACAAAAAAGCTGGGTATAAACTAAGTTGTACAAAATTTTTTAAACGCGCGGATTAGTGTATACTACCACGAGTATAGCTTTAATTGGGTCCTATTAGGTCCCTTTGTAACGTCTGGAAAGAAACAAGATTCGGAAGGAAAAAAATAGCGATAGAGACAATAAAGATAATATTGAAAGAGTAAAGAATAAAGTGAATAAAATAAAGATGGTAACGAGCCTATAGAGAAGTGAAGAACATAGTGTGTGATTAATTAATTAAACACACCCATTTCGACAATTTTAGAATGAGAATACGTTGTATAAAGTAAACATTAATTTATTTATTATTAAATTATATAAAGTGGATGCTGCATCTGTAAATGTGATAAAAGTTATAGATATGTATGTATGTGTTCTTTTGTAGACATTTTCTTGAGAGATTCCAATTACGTGCTATAAAACACTTTTAAGCTTTTCCACCAGTTGGTAGGTGGTATTTCTGGTATTTTTCTTGTGTAGAACTTCCCATTTTTTAACCTAAAAACATTAACATTTATGGATGTACTACATCATACATACATACATACATACATACATACATACATACATACATACATACATACATACATACATACATACATACATACATACATACATACATACATACTACATACATACATACATACATACATACATACAAACATACTACTCATACATACATACATACATCAACATACATACATACATACATACATACATACTACATACATACATACATACTACATACATACATACATACATACATACATACATACATACATACATACATACATACATACATACATACATACATACATACATACATACTACATACATACATACATACATACATACATACATACATACATACATACATACATACATACATACATACATACATACATACATACACTACATACATACATACATACATACATATCATACATACATACATACATACATACATACATACTACTACATACATACATACATACATTACATACATACATACATAGTATACATAACATACAACATACATACATACATACATACATTACATACTACATAATACATACATACAATACATACATAAATACATCTACATACATACATACATACAACATACATACATAATACATACATAAATACATAACATACATACATACATACATACATTACATACATACATACATACATACATACATACATACATCATAACATACAACATACATACATATGTAATACAGGCATCACTGATATATTCATTCTCTACAATTTGTATTCAACGTAATGCAAAAAAAAAAGCAAAATAATTAAAAAAATGCTTCCAAATATTTTTTTAATTATTTTGCTTTTTTAATTGTATTTGTTAATCTTTATTATTATCAAACAAATGAAATGAAGGGCTTATTGCAGTAACTCGATATGCCACAAAAATAAAATTTTGAGTAAATCGACATTAAAGTTTAAAAAAATTCTCCAAAAAATGTTTTTTTTTTTAATTTTTACATTAATCATATAAGGTCGATAACTATCGTATGCCATTAGATGGATATCATAAATAAAGTGGAAACCACTGTTTTAGCAAAAATTTTTGGCTTATCAAGTTATTGCCTAACCATATTTGAACATTTTTTATTTTCAAAAAACAAGTTCTAGTACATTTTCAAAGTGGCTTATCATGTTCTTGCTACAAAAAAATTTATAAATTTTATTTTCAATATGAAATTTATATTTTTAGTTACTTTTTTATATGAGAATAAATTTGCCTAATTATACTTAGCTAAATTATTCTGCAGTAAAAGACAGGTCCTGTGGTATGATTCCATTTAAAATGGAATGACAAAACACATTATTTTGGGTTTTGCACTGAATATTGAGATTAAAATTTGATATAATATTGCGTTTATTCAGCATAGTTGATTTTCTGCTTCTTGATCATAATTTTAAACATCTGAACGAATTTCGATGCATGTTGTGTCAGAAGTCTTGCACGGATTTTAGAAATTTCAAGTCCATTGTTCAAAAGAGGTTTCGATATGCACTTTATATATCAGGCGTTATAATATTATGCTTTTTGTATATGCTGCTGATTGTGATATGTTTTACAAAGATTATAGGATGTGCTGCAATGTCTTTGCTAATTTAGTATGATAAATGTGACTTTATATTATGCACATAGTTTGAACATTATATAAGATTTTTCCACGAAATGAAAGTAAATTTATAAGCAAAATTTATTAAAATTTTCCAATCAACAAGAACTCGGTAAGCAACATAATTAAATATGAAATTATTTTAATGCAGTAACATGGTAAGCCACTTTAATTTCAAAAAATTATATCTCCCGAGATTTCAAGCAAAAAATTTTTCTCTTCGTATAATGATACTTGTCTTAACTTGTTCTATCACAGTAATATAAAAAAATATCAATTCCGCTTTTATTTCCATCATTATAAAGAACTTTCTTAAAAAGTGTAAAAAATACATGTGGCATATCGAGTTTATGA